AAATGCTTTAAATAACAGATTGTGTTTCTTTTAAAGGAAGTATACTTTGTTTCCTAGAAATAAATTTAAGGGTCTCCACTTTGCCTATCTTGATTAATGGGAGCTGGAAAAGAAGAAAGATACTCTTCTTCTTCTTCTTTTTTTTTTTTTTTTTTTTTTAAGAGAATTCCTTCCTCAGATGGAAAGATTTTTGTTTAGCATATGTGGGCATAACCGTGGTAACCTATGTATTCCCAAACCTTCTTATTAAAATGCCTTTTCCCAGAGGAATAATCATAGTTAAATAACTCAGAGGGTAGTTTTTATAGAAGGTGAGAGACATTCTTTTTTCTTCCTGAATTAAGGAGTCATGTATTCTTTATCAACTAGAATATATTTGAATATCCTATTTTTTTTTCATTTTTCTGGTCTTAGTGTCTGTCTCTCTCTCTCTCTCTTACATTTCTAGAAACTTTATATAACTAATAATAAAATCACAAGCCTTCCTTCACCAGAAAGAGCATCATATCATGTTAATGAACTTTTGGTCTCTTTTCCCAGAATTACCTAGGTATCATGCTGCTATTCATTTGTCTTGAAAGTTTAGCGCAGATGATTTCAATTGCAAAAAGAAAAAAATCTACAGTTTTTACTTCTGTTCCTCATAGTCCATGACCCATTTCTGTCTTTTATCTAAGCCCATGAAAATGGCAAATGCCTACTTGTCATCTGCAATTCAATACCAATCCTACCTGTTTGATTCAAAGGATGTTTTGACTTTCTCATTGATAACTCACCAACATCAGTTTGCACTTAATTTTGAAATTCACTGACTTTATTGTGCAAGCTCTCCTTTCCATTATTTATTATAACCAAGTTTTTTGATTTCTCCTAATCATTAGTCAAGAGAGGGAGGCCAGTGAGGTGTCTAGGTACTTCCTAAAACATTTAGGCCTATGGTTCTGCTTTAACAGGAATACTTATCTGTGGCCAAATGCTTCATTTTAATTTAAATAATCTGTAATATTAAGTCAGGCAGTTTATCACACAATGGATGATTTTTTTTTAAAAGGATAGTGAAAACATTTTGGTTATTTTAGTCTTTGGTCCATGATCTAAGGACAGTGCTATTATAACAGTAAAATAAATTCTATGTGCAACTAAGACAAAAATTTGCGTGCTATCATGTGCTTATCCTCCCCACTCCCCACCTCACCCCCATCGGTGCCAGGTACGCTGTAATCATGGAGACAGTAGGGCCCGGACACTCTGGCCAGCAGCACCCCCACCTCTTTCTCTGCACTGAAAAAACAAGTTACAGAAAGTATTATAACAAACCTCATACATTCAACACTAAAATTATTAATGTTGAAGTTTGATTCAGGTTATTTTCATTAAAAACAAAGCCTTTGTATGATTTCCTGAAGTCCAAAGGGAAAAAAATCTTGTTAATTTCCTTTGACTCTCTTTCTATTGAATAGAGAATATTACAGTATCTTATCATTTCAGAGTTCATTGCTTTTTAGATTGTATTTCACATAACATGTAGATTTCTAGAACTCTTCATTACTTGAAAAAAGTAGTAATAGTATTCAAAAATACATTTTGACATATTAACACATGGCTGGTCAACCCAGACTTTTAAATAGAATAATGTTATTAATATATGGTAGAAATATGCAATGATAGAATAAAATAGAATTCCTTTACCCTAAATCTCTCTCATTAGTCTATTGTATAATGCTAGGAAATAACACTCTCTGATATGGCAAATTTTCTATGGTATGTTTCAAAATAAAAGGTCAGATTTAGTGAACTTTTAGAGGTTTATAAGTTCTGACTTATAATGATCAAGTTTATCTTCTTGTTCTGTACTAAGTGATGCCCCAAATGAGTCTACATTTTGAAAATTTTTGTTCTCAGACTAAAAATCATCTTTTTTTTTTTTTTTTTTTTTTACATAGTTAATGATAGAAGGCAGTGAAATCTGTGCTTTTCTTATTTTAGTTCTGATCCTGGAGAAATGTTATCTTTTTTGACTTACTACCTGTCATTATCAAATATTCCAAGTCAATATATTGTGGATTATAACTTGTGTTTGTGTTTTTTTTTTACCTCTTTTTACTGTGATACTCATGATAGTAGAATTTGCTAAGTTATCCTCTTAGTTGAAGCTCATTAGCAAGAGGATAATAGGCATAACAGTCTTTTATAAAGTATTATTTTTCCTAAGATTTAGATAAAACAGGGAAAAGAGAAGATAACCCTTCTGCTTAAAAATTATTTTACTCTAGAATGATGAATCACTGGTCTGTACCTCTGAAACCAATAATACATTGTATGTTAATTTAATTTAAATTTTAAAATGTTAAAAAAATTATTTTACTCTAACAGCATAGTACTCAAGTTTAACATCTGTTTAAAGTTGCCCAAGCAAGCTTCACATCTTCCTATTATTTTCTTTTTCTTCCTATTATTGACAAAGAGTATTCCCAAAGGTCTCAATAAGGCAGGTGATTGAAATGTGTCAAGATGGTTTTTGATAGTTCTAGTGAATAACTAATTAAATGGTCTTAATTTATATGTTTCTAAATCAGACTATTTATTTCATTAGTTGATTAGTGTTTAACTTTTTTATAATCAACTTTAAATGAGTATCAATGAATATTTACTAGCAGATGTAATGCCATTAAATCCAGACATTAAAAAAAATTAAAGCATTAAAGAAATATCAACTATCTAAGCATTCAGTTTTATATGATGATTACCTGGCCTAATTTACCTAAAATTGTGTGCTAGCCAAATTATAATTAAATCATTTCACTAATTCCAATGCTTAAAATAACTGATCATCTTATTAAAAATGAGTAATTTAAAATTAATTTGTTACATTTTTCACTTATAATCCCATAAGCATTTCATATGTAATTTTGTAAAAAGGCCCTGAAAACCAAATTTGAAATTCTATGTTATGTTCTTTTTATGTTCTAAGTTAGCAGACAGTTTCCCTTTTGTTGGATAACACAGTGATTGACACATTGTAATTACTGAATTTTTACATTTTTATTTTCTAGTTGAAACGGTCTGAATTTTTAAGAGTATGCAATATGTATTAAATTTAATATATCTAGTGTATGTCTATGTATTTATAAGTGTGTAAATATATACATGTGTATATCTATACACTACATGCGAGCAATCTATATGCATACTTAGCTTTCTAAATTCTACCGAATATTCAACAAGATCAGATTGCTAATTTGATAGGCAAGAGTCATCTCTTGTTATTGTTTATACTGAACTTTTTCACTTCAAGGAAAATTGTTGCTGAATATTGATTATGGATATTAATTTTGTGAACTGTCTTTATCCTTTCCTCTATTTACTAGGGTTGCATTACTTTCAAATTTGTAGAGCTCTTAATGCACTGAAGATATTATTTTTTTTACCTGGCACTTAATGGAAATATTTTGCCAGTGTGACATTTGTGCAGACATTTGAAGTTTTATGTAGCTGGATCATAATCCTCTGTGTGTGTGTGTACGTGTGTGTGTTTAGTTTGGAAAATCTTTTTATATTTCAAGGTAGTCTAAGTATTTGTCTGGATTTTATTTTATATGTACCATTTCATCTTTTTAAATTTGCTTTTTATCTAGAATTTATATTTGTATATATTAGAAGGTTCAGTTCTCATTTTTTTCCATAGAATGTTTCTCTTTTTTTTCCACTCATGAACTAATTCATCAATCATTGATTTTTATATTTTCTTTTTCATATTTTGACATTTCACAACTGTCCACTACATATCATTCATTTATATTTTGAGTCTTAAATCATTGTCCCATAATTTGGGTTAAATTTTACAATATGTTTTAATAACCCACTAGGGTGTTACTCTCCTAATATATTCTGATTCTTATCAGTTTATTCTCTCAGATAAAATGTATGTAGTTTTTTTTTTTTTCAGTTTCCTAAACAAATATGAATAGCTTTTGATTGAGATTGGGTTAAACCTGTAAATTTGTGTGGGTAGAATTGAACACTTAATAATTCTATAGAATTCGGTCTTCTTAATCAGGGACATTGTAAGGCCATCAGTAAGGTCTTACCATTTTCTGTATATGGTTAAAAACATTTCTTGGTAATGTTCAAAAACATATTACTTTTTTGTTGCTATTGTGAACAGTTTTTTTATTGTGTCTACTAAGGGGTCATTGCTGTTGTATAGAAAAGCTAACAAGGTATATTAATATGTTGAGTAGTCTGTCCTGTTCATGTGCTAGCTTATTAGTGATGGGGAGTTCTTCCACTGAGACACATGAATAGTAAGTATACTGGATAGATGAATAGAATTTTATTTCTCTCAGCCAATATCTTGTATTTTCTTAGTATTCTTCTAGTTACATGTTATTTTCAATAAATATCATGCTTTATAAGCAAAGTAGCTCAGGGCTATTACAATTACGGGACTAGCTTGATAATGTTTTATAGGTTTATGAAAATCTGTATTTTGTGACCTTGGGGGTATATTTCACATTAGATCATTTCACTCTTTAGAACGCTCATATTTTTGTGATACTATCAAAACCGAACTAAAAATGATTGAAATATTTTGGCCTTCTCATTTTTATCATTCATGACAGTAAATTAAGCTATGCTAATGATTTATTTAGCATATTTTCTTAATAAGCTAGGAGCTTAATGGCATGTAAAAAGCTTAACCCATGTTAACATCTTTCTAGGATGTTCCTGACAAAGAACCAGAAAGCTGTAGATTAGCAGACTCTTCTATCACACAGTGATATTAAAATATCTTGGAAATAACTACCAGTTGAAATATTAGCTATCAAACCAGAGGTTATTATTACTTTTGGTGTATTAATTTATTCATGATAGCTACTTAATACATTCATATTAAAACATAGATTTCAAAAAAGTATTCTTTAGAAGAAAGAGTAAAAATATTCGCCACATAAAATAAGTGTCATTGAATTTACGGTAATTATTATATTATATTACAGCTCATGGGGCATTCAGAATGGGACCACAAACGAGGGGCAAGAGGATCACAGGTAAGTTTATTTTCCTTTCCGTTTTTTTGAATTTTGTTTCTTAACATTTTGAGCCACGAGTCTTCTAAAACTCAAGCAATAACAAGTAGAGAGAGGAAGAGGCAAATAATCATGCCATTTGTTTTTATTTAAGTTAGCTGTGATTAAAGTCTGGTTTCAAATCCCAGAGGCAGATGCCTGTATATTCTTCCTGAGAGCTTTCTGGTATCCCAGATTGGTTGTGTTTATATGAATGTAGATTTTATATTCATCTTGTCTCTGCACAATACATTTTGATCAGCAACCCACTCTCTTGCTTTCATTCACTTCCTTTGATAATTTTTCTATGTATTTTCTTTCTTTCTCTATCTTCCTGTTTTTGGTTAAATATTTTGAAACATAATCAAAGTAAACCCTGAACTAATTACAGATTCTGTCTCCAAATTAACTGTCTTCATCTTAGGGAAATAGAAAGATGAAAGGACCTATTATTTTTGAAAAGAAACAAATTCTGAACCTTTCTATATTACCAGATTGTTTTCATTGTCTTACTTTATGTCTTAGGCAAGGGGAAAAACTTCCATGACGCATTTATGCTTTTTAATGACCTAATTAGACAATGTGGATTTGTTTTGCTTCCATAATTACTTTGCCTGACAGAATGAGGGCTGAGTTTTACACGAAGAAAATTCTCTCTCCTCCTGCGGTATTTTGTGAAGAAAGATGAAAATCCTTTATCTCTTAGCAGCCTGTGTGTTTACCTGATTGTAGACAGCCAAATAAAAATTAAGTGGGTGGGATATTTTTACCTCTCCTGCTCACACTTTCTGTTTGCTACTAAAAAATATGGCTAAAAGAAAGCAAGCTGAATATGCAGTACTGTATGTGAGAGTTCATTATCGAATGTGAGATTCTCCCAGGTTTTTTACAAAGCTGACATGGACCTGTGCTGTCACTAAGTTTGCCTGGTGGTTATTAATTGAGGTCACTGGGAAAATAAAACCCAGTCAGTTGTTTTAAGTTGAGATTTTAATAGCCGTGGTTTTATTTTCATCCATTATCAACTTGATTAGTAGGTAATATAAACCAGTCCAATTAAGCTAGTTATCTGAAAGAATTTGTCTTGCCTTCCTTCACTCTTACTTCCCTTTTCCATTTTCTCTGTCAACTCTCCCTCTATACACACCTGTAATATTTTAAGTCAGAATTTGCTGCAAGATTGGGAATGAAATGATGAATGTATGGTAAATGCTATGTGCTTCGAAACCAATGAAAAACTAAAGATGAGGGGCACCTAGGTGGCTCAGTCGTTGGGCGTCTGCCTTCAGCTCAGGTCATGATCCCAGGGTCCTGGGATCGAGCCCCACATCAGGCTCGGCGGGAAGCCTGCTTTTCCCTCTCCCACTCTCCCTGCTTGTGTTCCCTCTCTCGCTGTGTCTTTCTGTGTCAAATAAATAAATAAAATCTTAACAAAACAAAAACAAAAACTAAAGATGAGCACAAGGAATTCAGCAGTTCTTCATTATTGCCACCAAAAACATTCTGATATTCAAAATATGCCAAGTAACTTCAGGACGACATGCCCTTTCAAAGTAAGGTAGTGCTATATATGTTTGTTTAAAATAAGTATTATTTACTCATATGACCTGTTTGGGTTTTTTCAAGTTTTTATTTAAATTCTAGTTAATTAACATACAGTATAATATTGGTTTCAGGGGTACAGTATAGTGACTCAACACTTCCATACGACACCTGGTGCTCATCACAGAAAGTGCCCTCCTTAATCCCCATCACCTATTTCACTCATTCTCCCCCTCCCGCCCAGTCCCGCCAACCCCAGCCATCTCCCCTCTGGTAACCATCACTTTGTTCTCTAGAATTAAGAGTCTGTTTCTTGGTTTGCCTCCTCTTTCTTTCCCCACCCTCCCTTTGCTTGTTTGTTTTGTCTCTTAAATTCCACATATGAATGACATCATATGGCATTTGTCTTTCTCTGACTGACTTATTTCACTTAGCATAATACTCTCTAGCTCCATCCACATCATTATATATATATATAAAATATATATATAAAAATATATATATAATATATATATGTATATACATACATACATAAACAAATACAGTCACACAATGGAATATTACTCAGCCATAAAAAAAGAATGAAATCTTGCCATTTGTAACCTGACATATGACCTTCTTGAATATATGTATTTTTGGGTTTGGATTGGTTACTCTGTCATTATAAATTAGAAGAAAAATGTCATAAAAGCACAATAAGCACAATATTAATAGGTGTTAAATTTAAACATAAAAAACCCAGAGTGAAAAATTTTAAATTCCAGATATTGCACATAGCTAGAAAATTTCAAAATTCCACACGCACAAAATATATTCATAAATAAAGTTTGATCACATTTGAAAGCCTGAGATGGTTCTGAAAGGCAAATGCATTAGAACCTTCTTGCCTGAACTACCATTATCAACATCAAGGTCTGTCTGAGACCTTTCAACTAGCTAAAGTATTTGCAATGATTATACCTTTGTCTCACTTTGATTCCTCACTCATAAAAATTGTCAAGGTAAAAAGCAAAAACATACACCAAAAACTAAAAACAGTAACTGTAACAAAAACCATTGAAATTTCAGATAAATTAAGTATTAGGTAATAATTTCTTATCTAATTTTAATTGCCCACTGGGGGTAAAAAGACACTGTATTTATGTTTTAGATCATTGATCCCTTATCTTGCTATTATTTCCTTGATAATATGTCTAAAGCCTTTTAGCTATTTGAAAGGAATTTCAGACAGACTGCATCTGAATACAGATTTCTTAATAATTTAGGCATACTCAAACCCCACCTCAGTTTAGTTTAATTGAAGACAGTAAGTTTTTAAGCACTTACTATATGTACAGCATTGTAGTAGGTCTAAGTCTGAGGAGAAACTGAGTTGACAAGGTTACTGCGTTCCAAGAGCTCACAAGTTATGTTTGGATAGAGCAATACTTGAATATATAATCTGCTATATAAGGTAGTCTAGTAAGTGTAAAATTAGTTATATAAGCAAAATGTGATAGGAGTTTAGGTGGGATAGAGTATCCTTAGTAAAACTACTTCTTGGAGTTGCTATCTGAGGTGAACCTTCAACATTGGGTAAGGTTTTATTTTTTTTATTATTTTTAAAATTTTTTTAAAGATTTTATCTATTTATTTGAGAGAGAGAGAGCATGAGCACGGGGAGGGGCAGAGGGTAAAGCAGACTCCCCACTGAGCAGGACTCCAGGTGCAGGGCTCCATCCCAGGACTCTGGGATCAGGACCTGAGCTGAAGGCAGACGCTTAACTGACTGAGCCACCCAGGTGCTCTGGGTAAGGTTTTAGAAGTACAATGGGAGGAAAAGGCAAAAGCTTGAGTAAGAGTCTACACTGGCAGAGTGTAGGATATGTCTGGATATATGTGAATTTTCTTTAAAACTGTTTGGTCAACACATATTGGCTAAGGATTGTTGCAGGAACTACTGTGAAGGAATGATTCAGAGAATGTCATATATTATTGATTAGACATGAGGAAGAAGTAAGGAGGGTAAAGATTTTGAAATCTAGTAGTTGAGGAATTAGTGCCCTTCACACAGACTAGTTTATAGAGAAGACAATGAATTCAGTGTTAGCAGTGTTAAATGAGAAGTGACAATGACAATTCTCAAAGGAAATTTGAGACAGGTACTTGAGGTACCATTTTGGTGCTCTGTAGCCAGATTAGTGCCAGATTAGAGTTCTGTAGTCAGTTGGGAATGCTAATCATACATATGATAATTGAACTACATCAGGAGATAGATCGTAGAAGCAGATAATTATAAGGGAAAAACAGAAGAAAGACTGATTCTTGGGGAAGGTTCATTGGAAGGGCTGGGAGGAGCCTGGGGAGAGAATTAAAGCATGCCTGTGTTCTAGCTAGGAGACCAGTTAAAGGAGAAATGATGCAGAATCAAAAGTAGTATACTATCAGGTTACATTAGGAAGAGGGTTGAGACCACAAACAAAGGTTCAAGAAAACGAAAAACATGGGAAATGCATTTCGAAATAGTGATTAGCAGGACATTAGTGAACTTTGAGAATGCCATTTTGATCAAGAAGTGATGGAAAGCAGAATACAGAAATTAAGTGAATAGTGTAAGATAGTAGAATGTTCTCTTGGAGGAATTTTGCTTTAGAAGAGAGAAATTCATTTTGGATATCTAAAAAAGGGGACTGGCTTGATGTTTGAGCATCAAGAAATGCCTAGTAAAAGCAGAGGTGTGTCAACTTCTGTGAGTGGGTAGCCTGCAAGACAAATTTTAACCTATTTTATGTTGACTCAAAAAAACACCAATATATGTCAGGCAATTTTTTTAGCCTCTAAGGAGTCAAAAATGAACAACTGTGGTCTTCAAGAAGCATACGGTTTTACCTAAAGTCAGCCTTAGGTAGAAGATAAAAAATAATCAGCTAATATTGAGAGCATTGATCATTATAAGATAGTTAAGCTTCTCCTGGCCTTCCCTCCATGTGCTTATTACTAAGTAAGAGATTTTCTCAAATTTGATGTGGTCCTCCAAAATTATATCATGTGTACACTATCACAGATAATGAGGTATGCCCTTCAAATATTTATCGTATGGAAAAATGCATGTCTTGCTTCAAGTAAATTGCACCACTTAATTGCATATGATTTTGCAAACTCAGCAATAATTTAATTCAAATTGATTTATTTACTCTCAATAATTCTGTGATATAATTTGTCAGCTCACTCAAAGCTTTCTGGCGGTTTCTTCTTCTCCTTCTTGTTCTTCATCTCCTCCTCCCCCTTCCTCTCCCCCTCCTCCTCTTTGTTGTTTTTTAAGTATATATTCTCAGATAGTAGATCATCCAAATTAGGGAATATGCTAAACGATGGACTTCCAACAATATGCAGAACTTTTTTATCTGGCAGCATTCCCAGTAATACCAAATGAAGTCAGGGATGAAATTCTCAGAAGGCAA